TTTTAAATTTGATGACTTTTTTATTTTTAATTAAGTTATTTTTTCATTTATTTATTTTAGTGACAATTAACATGTCATAAAAATATTTTACCGACTCAATTATTTATAACAAATCTGATCAGATTGTTATCGGATTGGATTAACCTATATTCATATTTGATTCATTTAGTTAACGGATTATCGGATTCGAATCTTGATTGAGTTATGGACTAAGATCCTGAATCAATCTCCCATTAATTTTATTGGATTCGAATCAAAATCCAATCTATTGACAGTCCTAACTGAAACACACAAAACAAAATAATAAAATATTTCTCCGAACTAGAGTGGGAAGAAATACTGAACGTATTGGCTTCCTATCTTACCTTGACAAGATTAATCTAACCCACAAATAGCCATAGGCCCGCACTCAGAATACAACCTACCAAACCTCCAACATTCACTACCCCAACCATCCGTAGCAAAAACCAGAGTACCAAGACAAATGAGTAAACAAGAGCATTCCCAAAGGATCACCAATAAAATAAGCAAAAGAAAATAAATAACATTTTATGAGAGATTACAAAAGCACTCAATGAGATTTCCCTTAATAACAATTTCTGTTCCTCGTAGTAACTTTTGCCAACCATTATGCATATATTCACTGTTCAAAACTCATAACAACCTCTATATCTTTATCTCCAACATACCAGATTGGCAGTTCCAAACTGTAAAGTCCTCGTCTGTGTATAGCTTATCCAATCCCATAGGCAAAGCATGTAAGGATTTTTTAATTAATCACGTGGGTTTATATGTGAATTATTGTGTATTAAATTAAAGGCTATCAATTTTGGTTAAACCCGTTTAAAGTGATCTAATAAGATTTCGATATTATAGGTTTTGAAGCATCTAATTAAATTGTGGACTTTATGTGTTGTGACCAGACATGTTCCTAATTTCATGATGGGACGAATTAGGTTTACAGACTGTTAGTATATATATACGGTTATGGTCCCTGGATCATACGTGACTGTTCATTCTTTTCTGATTTCCATTATTAGAGAGAAATAAAGGAACAATGTGTTGATTTGGAAGACTAAATCCGTAGGATTCATTCTTTACATTAACCATGTCTGATTCAGGTACGCTTCCGCTTTGGTTCATGAATTCTTGATGGTCCAACATGAAGGATCATTATGACGGTAATGGTTTTCCCAACAAAGCAATCCCAGTAACAACCTGTGGAAGAGATCCTACTGTTAACATGAAATTGTAAACAACTATTACTTCACAAGCATAGTTAACTTGATATTAAAAAATGTATATAATAAGTGCTTTAGAAATTTGAGTCAAAGATGATTTAAGCAGATTAATAAATTACCTAATATGTTTAAAAACTGCAAAAGATCAATAATCATGAATTGGCTTCCAAACCATTATAAACATGCTCATAGCATGTAAATCTGGCTGCATCAAACATAACATTAAAATCCCTACTAAATTGGAAAAAATAAAAATAAAAATTAACAATCCTCGCTAAAGAATCCTACTTTATTAAATTCAAAACTCTGTCAACCAAACCAAAAGCCACAAGCAACATAAGCTTAACTTATATATATGTTCATCTTGTTCAAGAATGAAGAATACCTGCTGGTGGCTTTCAAGCGGAGTCAAAAGCGATGTAAGTATTTACAACTATCTCCAAATTTACAGTTCCCTTATAACCAATGTCTACACAATTTCTCCATCTTTTTAATCACCCTACAACTACTACTACCACCCTCACCGCCCTTGCACTTTACCCCAAGTATTATTGAAAAAAAGAAATACCGCTCCTCAGCAACCCGCCATCCCAAACCCCTGGTTGCCCGCTTTGAGGATTCCCCATGATTCACCCCCCGACAAGGAAGCGGAAGCACTTGCCTTGCCTCCTAATTGTAACACACTTTCTGCTGCTTATTATTACTGCTATCACTCGAAGCTGACTGGCTGAGTCTGTGATAAACTCGTCTTCCCCATCCATATCCATAATTATTTTATTAAGAGAAGAAAGGAGGTCAGCTAGATTGGGGAGGGAAGAGAAAGAGGAATTCCAGAGCAAGGAAAAGGAAGGAGGAAGAAGCAGCCAACGGTTTTAACTGATATTTGAATTAGGAGACAGCGCCGTTTAATTAGAGGGACACGGCGTTGTTTGAATTAAACCATGTATTGTAAAAAGTGAAAACACGTTTTCACTTTCTCACGCTTTTGAATTCTGTAATAACTATCAGATAGGAAATCGGAAGAGAGTGAATATTGTGCATGATTTCCCTTTTCTCTCTGATCCTATCTTCTTCTTTTCCTCTTCTTCCATTTCTATTTTCATAGTTAATTGCTGTAATCGACTTTGTTACATCTCATATTTTATTAATCAAAGTCAATGGTTGAATTGTCAA